TTTTTAAATATTTGATAAAAATAACTTGAACATTTCGATGTATCGCAAACCTTATTTTAAATTTTTCGTATATTTCGTTACCTTTCGAGTAGTTTTGAGTCGACGCCGCTTTGGTCACCGTACACTGCATTACTCGACCACATTTCAACGCTTCGGAAATATCGTTCCAAATGTTCGTCTTTTTCTTTTAGATCAGCAGCGTCGGAATGCGTATCACATGTGTTGCCACTGAATCCTCCATCGGAATTACAGTTGGAATAAGATAAGTTCCTTAGTAATTCATAATGGGACAGGTCCATTGATAGTTGTGAAACGTTATCTAAGCTATATCTAAAATTACTCGATCTCACACCGTTCAAAAGCAGGTCTGGTGTGACCCTACTCTCTCCTATAGGATTTTTATTCGTAATATGTGTTGAACAATCATCATTCATTATCTTGCGTCTCTTAAATTGATCTAATGCAATATCTAAAGATCTCACAGGTCCATTAATGTTTAAAGATTTACCTCTAGATGGTCCAAATTTGTGATTCCCAGGAGGTCCATTATTGTAAGACTTAGTTCTATTTACGAATTTCTTATCTACATTTGCAGTTGATTTATTTTCCATATTTTTTTATCTTTGTAATATGGGTAATTAATTGCATTATTGCTAATTTAACGGCCTAGTATTACACTGTTACATTTTGTGTTTAAAAATCATAATTATGACATTGTCAAAGTAATCACAAAGTAATTTATAGTCATAATAGGCATGGATAATCGGTATGAAAAAGATTTTAATGTAAGCTTTGTATAAAACGCTTGTTTGCAAATTATGTATGTTTTAAAATCATTAGGTAGCTTTTCAGATTAAAAAAGGAATAATAAGTATATAATTAAAGCGCCTGCCTTATGGTGGCGGAAAAATATCCTCCACCCCATTTCGACCCGTGGGGTCGTAAAAGGCGATTGTGAGAAATGACAGAACAATCTTCAGCCAACCGACAGAGGGCGGTGACCATCTTGTTAACGCCAGACAAAATACGTAGCCCGGCGCGGCGTCGAGGCGTAGTGTCAAAGGTGGGGAGATGTTTGGTCGCGAATTCGCCTGCCTACCGTGACGATTAAGCAAATGCTTCCTAACAAGAGAGGCTCATGTCCAGCTGCAGTCTTTTACGAGCTGATAAAGAAAAGAAGAAGATTATATTAGCTTTGTAGGGGCTAACCAGCACCTGTCACATGACAGACATACCCCGGGGAATGAAATGTACCAGATGTATAAGCCAGACTTCCTTCAGATTTTATTTATTGATTTTTAGTTGTATCTACGCAGAATGATTGTCAATATCTGTAAGTCTTGCAATGGTAATTTAAGTTTTTATTATATTTTTTTTAATTATATTAATAAATATTTTAGAGTGGTAATTATTACTTGCGCTGGACTAATTTATGATCAACTTTGTTTAATATTTGCTGATATGGAACTTTTTGAAGGTAAAGGCTAATCTTCAGTAAGTAGGGCTGCATTTGATTGTAAAGATTGTAATATGGAGGAGACTCACATACACCACTATAACTGTAGTGCAACGCAGTCTGCTTAAAATATCCAGATCCAGGTTACAACATTCTCGATACAATAACTTAGGTCTCACTTGCAACAGGTCAGTTTATTGCAATCTTTGATCAACTGTAATGTTGTAACAAGTTTATTTATTTTTTTGTTTTTTTGAAACGTTACGTCCACACTAGGATCTTCTCCCCTATCGTGGTTTACGTACATAAATTTCACAAGGACAAACATCCAGACCCAGAACAATTATTTGTAGGCCATACAAATACTTGTCCGGGTAGATTACTAATCTATAATAATATATAAAAATTAATTTTTGTTTGTTCGTATTTTATGCGCTGCCATACACTACAGTTTATCAGCTCGTTTGGATCCAAAGCAGCATGACTGCACAAAAATACCACGAGGTGATAGTAGAGCCTGTTATTGTCTCACATAGAATCCAAATAGGCCAGAAATTTCTACTCATGCACGATAATGCCCCTTCTCATACTTCGTGGTTGGTGTCGGCCGCTCTCCGAGACAACGATGTTCAAGTTTTGGATTGGCCTGCACAGTCGCCCGACTTAAATCCTATCGAGCATGCCTGGGACATGTTACAACGAAAAGCTTTAAGAGATTTCCCGCCAAATTTGACGACGGAACAACAACTTTACGAACACTTGCAAAGAACATAGGACCTCATACCGCAGCAAGACATTGACAATTTAATTTTAAATATGAAAATTCGATGTAGATGTGTAATTAATGTAAGAGGTGGCAACACTGATTATTAATATACATTTTTAAATTTTAATTAAAATTAAGTTTTATAAGAAGAAATGAAGTTTTTTATCATACTAATTTTCTGCGGAGATTAAAAAAAATAACATTTTTATTTAAAACAAAAAATTACGGAATGTATTTTATTTTTTATAAAATACATTAAAATAACCTATCATTCTTCCATTTACTATATCAGAAAATTCTTCATAGATTTTTAGATATTTGATGAAATACGAGGGTGGATTGAAAAGTACTCGGCCTAACCAAGAAAATAAACAAATACTAAATCAGTTATATTTTTATTTTTCTACATAATCACCATCAAGTTCAATACACTTTTGCCACCTCCCCTTCCAAGCATTTAGACCGTTGAAAAAAAATGATTCTTCCTTAGAGTCAAAATATGCGTCTACAGCTGCTTTGACCTCGTCGTTTGTCGAAAATCTTTGACCTCCCAAGTGCTTTTTTAGGTTAGGGAACAGAAAGAAGTCTGATGGTGCCAGATCAGGTGAATACGGCGGATGCGGTAACAGTTCAAAGCCACAGTTGTGAATTTCAGCCATTGACTCTACTGACGTGTGAACACGGGCGTTATCTTGATGAAACAGGACTTTTCTTCTGAGCATTCCTCGACGTTTTTCTTTTATTTTCTCTCGTAAACGACGTAGTAAGGTGCAGTGGTAATCAGAGTTTATATTCTGACCCCTTTCAAGATAATCAATCATAATCACACCTTTCGAGTCCCAGAATACTGAAGCCATCACCTTATTTGCCGACAAAATCAACTTAGCCTTTTTAGGGGGTGGTGAACCAGGTCTTCTCCACTGTTTTGATTGTTGTTTTGTTTCCGGTGTACAGTAATGAACCCATGTTTCGTCTATAGTAACAAAACGATTCAAAAAATCATCTGCATCGGCTTCAAATAACTCCAAACAGTCGCGTGAAATAGTCAATCGCGTCCTTTTTTGTTCAACTGAAAGCAGTCGCGGAACCCACCTCGCAGACACCTTGTGGAAACCCAACTCGTTGACAATGATGTTTTGAGTTCGTTCATAAGAGATGCGTATAATCTCGGCTATCTCTCTAATTTTTAATCTGCGGTCTCCCATTATTAAATCAAGTACTTTTTTAATATTTTCGTCAGTAGTTGACGTCGAAGGCCTTCCAGAGCGGGGTTCATCTTTCACACTCTCTCTACCACGCTTAAATTCTGCTATCCATTTTTTGACGGATGAATATGACAGAGCACAATCGCCTAATGTACTGACCATGTCATCATGGATGGCTTTTGATGATAGCCCCTTCTTATGGAGGTACTTAATGACGGCACGCTGCTCGATTTGCTCCATTCGCGGAAATTATGTCCGATTACTTTGTTAATAAATTTATAAAATCACAACTAATTATCGCACACGTTTCGAACTTCACACAATGAACTAGTCTGAACTGAACTAAATAATGTGGATAGATTTGATTTTTAGAATTGAATGGATCTGTGTTAGGCCGAGTACTTTTCAATCCACCCTCGTATAAATATAAATATTTTATATGTAATGTTTAAGTATTTTATACTTAAATGTATCCTTGGTATGCAGACAAAACTCTACCATTATAGAAAAGGAAGCTAGTTTCCATGACGTAATAGACTTACGCCAAATTTCATTAGAAACTGACAAGCAGTTCATATACTATGGTATATGAACTGCTTGTCAGTTTCTAACATATTTCTACATATTATATTAGATAAATACTTTTAAATTTTCTAATAATAAATAACAATATTCGTTTTCTTATGTTTATTTGTAATTCATTTTTGTAAATGTTCCTTACATGAACAACACTCTCTCCTATTTTTGGTACGCACTACGAATCACAGAACACTAATACCCTCTACGAATAAGCTATGAAGTTGCGAATAAAAGGTGTAATTCTAAATTCCAGAAAAATCTTAGGACTCCGATAGATGGCGCTTATCTATTCGTTTACGCCGAACGTAAAATAACCAGACTTACGACGATCAGACACGTCATAGATACGAGGTGTCTAGCTGCAATCAGCTATCCGGCTGCCTTGCATAAAGAATAAAGCAAATTCTCTCTTGAACGGGAAAGGTTCACATTCAACTGTGGACTTTTATGAGTGATAAATAATACAAATAAAACACATTCTTGTAACAGAATTTTTCAATTATTTTAATTGTTAATATTATAACTAAATAGTTTTAGTTTAGCCTTCTTCTTTAGATAAAAAATTTTGGTTTTTACTTTTTAATGGATATTTGCTTAAAGCGCCATCTTTGCTGTTTTCTTAGAACTAATTTTAAGAAATAACTTTTTAAGTTTACAATATACTCTACTAGATGCAATAGATGGCGCTATTTAACCCTGATATTAAACAAATTATATTAGATGGCGCTTTAAATACAAATCAATAAAAAAGTGTACCCATTCGTTATTGGAATAAACACATTAATAAAAACCAAAAATATAAAATGAACTTATTTGAATATGTTAAAGTTTCCCATTAATATCTACAATTTGCAATAAAATTATTTATAAAAAGATATTTTTGTGTATTATCTAAAATATAATGGGTATATTATGAACAAACAATACTTTTTCTAAAACAATGTCTTAATAAAATACAAATAAACTGACAGTATAAGTATGAGGCGATAAGAAACTATCCCAAGTAATCGGCTTGAATAATTTTGGAGGGTAGATAAGAATCGCAGAGAGCCGCGGCTGTAGGGGACAAAGCTTCGATCTCTGCTTTTACTCCACTCTTCAACATGTCCTCCAGGTCTTTTCTTATGATAGAACCTGTTATTAAATTTGACTTTGTTCTATAGTGGCCATGGGTATCTATAGTATTTTTGAATATTTAGTAACTACTAAACATTGACAAATCGGAGAAATTGTACTTAACATGACACAACCATGGAGAGCAACATCTATAAAGCTTAAACTATAAATAAAACTGGAGAGGCACAAGTACACCATCAGAAATTGATCTGAACTTACATATATCATAAAAAGGATCGATACTACAATGCCTATACCAACTATAATAGGTTTCTTGATAAATGAATATTGTGAAGTTAATCATCATCTCCTTCATAACAGCCCATCACAAGTCTACTGCTGAACATGAGCATCCCCCAAGGAACACCACAAAACACGATCCTGAGCCATCTGCATCCGTTGACTTCCTGTCTCTCTTACCAAATTCAATTTATCTAGTGTTGGTTACATTTTCCTTACCGGTAAGAAGTACATAACCTGAATATTTTTATTTATTTTAAAAATGAATAAAATTTTCGAAATGAATACGAATTTTTACACGTGACAAAACCCACACTGTAGCGTGTGATGGCTGTACGAAGAACAGTGTCTTCAAGACAAAAGTGAATAGACTTTTGCTAAGTCAGTGCACTTGACCATCTTAGGCTACATCACCACTTACCATCAGGTGGAATATTTTAGTTTTTACGTGGTAGAGCCATGTCACACAATGTAGATGTTTTGTCACCCCTGAGGACTAAGACTTTCAGTCTTAGTTCTCAGGGGTGACATTTAGAATCCTGTTCGAGGGTTGAGGAAGACAGGTGTCTATGAACCAGCACCAGCATCCACTTTAACATAAAAATGTTTTCGGGTTTATTGTATTGTAACCGCAATTCTGACAATATTTGATGCATTTTGCAACTTTCCTTTTACCTTATTGAATACGTGTTACATCAGAAAAATAAAAAGAGATGAAGAATAGTAAGTTGCCTTTGTTTGCACTATGGAGGGTAGAGAACCATCACAGAAAACGTGCTCCTTTTATTGTAATGAAATGAAATGTTGTTACTATACTAAACATCAAAATTTAAAAGAATATAACTGTGCCGTGTGGCAACCTTACAGATTCCGCCACCACATTTCGTTCTGCAGGTGTGATAAGAGAGGATTATTGGAAGTGCCGACAGATCCGATATATAGCGGTGTAACAAAGAAAATCTTGTATATTTCAGACGTAATTTTGTTGGTCAGCGACGGTGTGTTCAGTAGTAAACTATTACAGACGTAGGAACACCAAGAAAACTAACCCGTAGCCGTATTAAGATAGGGCCTTTTAACTAAATTGACTATTTTCCTCTTGTCGCGAGATGTAAGAGCCAGACGTGACTCTTTGGTTGCAAGGGTCATAACGTCACCATGCCTAGCTCCCAATAACTGCAGAGAACTACAAGCCAACGATTGTGAAAGGTGAGATTGAGCCTGGAATACAAGTCAACAATTTTATGTTACTTATTTTTATAAAGTTCTTTAATGATAAAAGTTAAAATTAAAGTAACATAGCTGAGCAGAGACATCTCTACACGCTGTTTAGGTGTGTGTTAATAAAAAAAAAATTATAAACATGCATATATCTGTCCGCGATTTTTTATTTTTCATTCATGCAACATTCCTATGTTTTTTTTTTTTCATCGCCGAGCAAGTGATAAAACAGCACTTAAAATTGCAATCATAAGGATATCTCGGCTGCAAGTTTAATGAATGGATTTTAACGCAACCGAAAGAGACAACTACAGTTCTTATTGACTAAATTTATGAAAATTATTTATAAATTGTGGCTATATCTATAGCTCTTATTTTTTCCTAGCGATCCGCCCCGGTTTCGCACGTGTGATTCCTGGATCTCGACAATGACGCTACTTACCGGATCCAATTGCGAATCTAAAGTAATCTCTAATCAACTTAATATCACACACACACCAAATTCGGTCCAGCCGTTTAGGAGAAGTTCAGTCACATACACACGGACATAACAATTATATAATATACTAGCTCGCCAGGCAGAAGTTGTTCTGCCCTTTCCAACGATCCTTCCTATAAAAATCCTGAATTCGCAATAAAAAATTTTGAGGTTCATTTCTTCTTCTTCTTCTTTACTTTTTGGCTTCTCTTAAAAGAATTCTGCCAATGTGTTGAGGGTCATTTAGCGGGATAAAAACTTTCCTATCTCTCAAGTTGGACCAAAATACATACAGTGTGCTAAATTTCATTGCAATCAGTTCAGTAGTTTAGACGTCCATCGCGGACAAACAACGGGATACGTAAATTTTATATATAAAAAATAATATGCAAGTATTATACACATAAACCTTTTCTTGAATCACTCTGTATATTGATGAAAACCATATCAAAATCCGTTGCGTAGTTTAAAATATCTAACCGTACAGACGGCGGGAAGCGACGTTGTTTTATATTATGTAGATATTTAAATAAATTAAATAATAAGTAAAAAAATACTAAATTTGTTTGCTAAATGTTTAATATCCGTATATACTCGGCCGTTTTAGTAGTTCTAGAAGGTTCCTAGTTTTTTAAATAATAGATTTAGGGTTAAAAAAAACAGGAACCTGGTAAATAGAGATTGTATTATGTAATGTAGCAAACACAACTGAATCGCAAAAAAATAATTACTCTAATTAATTGTATGAACTATAAATTTAAATGTAACGGATATTTTCTACCGACTTCAAAAAGGAGAATGTACTCAATTCGACTGTATGTTTTTTATGTGTGTTACTTCATGACTTTTTTCTGGGTGATCGATGTCGATGATTCTTTTTTTATTTAAAAGCTAGTGCTTCTCATGTGATCCCATATAAATTTGATCAAGGTCCAATCAATAGTTTTTAGTTATTCTTAATAATTTTTATTGAAGTCGGTTGTACAAATTTTTTAATTTTAAATTATCACAATGTACGTTAAATTTTCCCTTAGTCAAGGCAGCATATTAAAGATGCAAAACGACTGGCACTACGATCATCAATCGGCCAAGTGTGACTATAACGGCAAAGCATCTCTCCCTGCAGGGGGTAAAGCCAATATCCAGCAGTAGACTTTTACATCCGTGGTAAATAAGGAGCCGGGCTTCAATATCGATATACCACTGAAATTTTTATAAGAATAAATTAATAATTAACAAGGCAAGGGGAAACGCCTAAAAAATATAATTACGCTTTTAAAGGAGTAAAACTCGACTTCAAACAACTGAAAAGAATATAATTATAGAAATCGTGGTAAATAACGTGGTAAAGAATAATGCGCTCATAATGAGTCGTGCAAATTGAAGAGTTTAATTATTGTCTTACATAAGCTATCATTAGAACTCAAGCAAAGGTACCTATATGAGACAACCCCTGAGGTACCCATTCTTACAAGAAAAAAATAATTGAAATCAGAATAAGTGGTAAGTAATTATCGCTCAACATATATAAAAGAAATATAGCAAAGATAATTGCCAATCTTCCTTGTTTTGAAGGCGATTGAAAATTAGTTTCGAAGACACGCTGCTCGTTTTACTGGATACTTGGCATTTTATCTTACTTCTCCGGATGAAAACGCATCTGCATTTTCATTCTTGATCGAGGAGAAATGTGTCTATGGGGTACAGTATCCAGTTACCATCAGTTAGACTGTGTGCTAGATTGTCACCCTTATACCATGAAAAAAATCAACTCTACACTTGAGCAGTTCCTCTGCTAGATGGATTCTTCTCTACTCCATAAGCTTTTTAACAGAGGAATACTGCTTTAGGACATTAATGGTCTGTTACTTTTTTTTGTAGATACTCGATAATATTTCAATCATGAGCTTTACCAAGGAGCCATATTTGTAAGTGAGAAAGATCTCGTAGCCATGCGGATCAGCGTCGACTAGCGCCAGCGCCCTCAGCCGTAATTCGTTCACGAGCCGACACAGTAGCTGACGAGTGCAGACATCCGGATACCCTTTGCCCTATAGAAATATTGGTTAGAAGTGGTAGTTGAAAGGATTGTTTTGTTTATATCTATTTAAATAACATTGCAAGATATATAATATACAAAAATATTTAGTTATATTTATAAAGACTATGAGAGTCTGGTGTCTGTACAAGGCGGAAGCCTATGTTACTGATCACCAGGATCTCAATATCATACTCAATATAATACATAGTAATGATTTTCTAAAACAGCACGTAGACGCGGCTCGGAAGAGAAATCAGTCTGTAGTTATTCAAAAGCGTTGTCGCCTTTCTTGAAGGCTTCTGCTCCACGCCTCCGGAGTAGTGCACCATGGAGGACGTAATTGAAGAGTTTCTGAAGGACTTTAAGTACCGGTTTTCCACCCGCTCTCAGAAGCTCCGTTGTAATTCCATCCTCGCCGGGGCCCCTACACTGGCGTGTGGCTCCAACGATGACGTATACAGTTGCCCATAGTACCTCTCAATCTCACTCAAAATCTCAAGTGTCCCGGAAACGATGCTGCCACATTCGGTCTTCAGCTTCGACAGTTGGCTTTTTCTGGCAGACAGATCTCTGGCAAAAACTTTGGAGCCGCTCGATTCCGCTCGATCGCTTCCACAATACGAGCTGTATTGAATTTGCGAAAGTCCCGCTGCATGCATTTGGATATCTGTCTGTTCAGTTGCCTGTATGCTGTCAAATCTGCTGAAGAATTCAGCTTCATCTCCCGTCTAACAGCCATGAGATTAAAAGTGTGATCGGAGAGTTTATGTGTTCTCTTTGGTGTTACAGAACTTAGCTTCGACCGCATGAACAGTTTCCACAAGCTTGTCATTCATGTCGTCCACTTCATTGCGATCTTCTAGTCAAAAAAACGATTTTACAACTCGAGCTAAAAGTTTTCGTGGCTTTGGATTAGAGCACGAGGGGGACGGACCACATGCACAACGGTGCAGAAAAACATCGTGAGAAAATGTGCATCTCAGAATAAAAATATTATTTGACATGTTAATCGCGGCGAACTAATTCCATAACTGTCTTAGAAGTTAGAGGTGGCCTTTGTACAGCTGCAAAACGTAAATAGGCTGCAACCTTAAGTTTTTTTTTTAAATTTAGTTTTTAGTCGCGAAAATAAATTAATAAAGCAATACCATAAAAGTACAAGAAATTATAATGCGTACATCAGAGATGCTTAACACCTGCATCAAGTAGCCGAAAAAAAGAATTGTGTACAATGTAAAGTAAACTAAATTCAAAACAAATTATACACTGGGACTCGTAATAGCAAAAACAAGTGCAGTATCTATTAAACTATAAATGGTCACAATGGAAGAGCAGCTGAGATATATACACGAAGATTTGGTCTTGACACCTTATACAATGCTATATTTCAGTTTAATGTCAGGACGCTGTCACAGTACAATATATTTTCTACATTATTTTTGTGCTATTTGTTTGTATGGTGTAAATATTATTCTATTACTTTGTGTCGATTTTTTTATGATACATTGTTATTTTTACAATTTTTTTTTCGATCTATTAAATCTAACTCCGATAAAGTTTCAATAGTTTGTTGCTTTGCAGCTCCAGCTTAAATACTTGAATCGTGACCTGGTAACGTAAATTTATTGAGTTTTCCATGTCTATCTACGGTGACGCCGTAATCAGAACGAATGACAGAGCAATTTATTGGCGCAAACAGTGTTACTCTTCAAAAAAAAACTTATCGTGGAAGTATCACATCGGGCAAAAAGACGCAAACAAAAAAGTGGTTTGGTAGTAAGGTAAAATTCATCATTCTCTTCACCAGCACCTTGGGAGGATTTTCGATCATTTCATGACATTTCGCACTTGTGACGCTGCCCCTCAGCACCGGTCTTTCAATAATAGCTAGCTTATATACCGCCACCCTTCAACAGGACCTGATCCTCCGGGCCTTTCTTTTAGTAGACTGTTGCAATACCCACGGCACTATACCTATGGCGTTCTCTAACACGGCCAACATTTTTAGGCGATACTTGCGAAAATAATAAAAGCAGTCACTATTTAAAGTACATTATCACATATTAGAATAGATTAAAATAGAACGTACGGTCAGAATTATCAGCGGTCCCAGTCTCACTAATGCCCCTTCGTCTAACAACTTTTGAAAGACAGCATCTTTTTCCACGACTAAAATATATTTTGCAGTTGAACGAAATTCTTTGATGCCGTCAACATCTTGCGGTATAAGTGTTCCTACAAAAGATTTGTTACTGTTATAAATAATTCGTCATAATATCATACTATAGCAAAACAAATATTTCTATTCTTTGGAAAAAACTATTTCTTTGACAAAATTTAAAATACATTAAATATTTTACATACATCATGTACCAAATAGCTTTTGAATTAAATGTTACGTTATTTTTACAAGTTACTGTCACAATTTACTGGACTTACCTCCAGCACCGAAGCAGTCGATACAAGAACCATCTTTCATGTGTATTTTAACTGAGCCAGCAATTAATCCTTTGGCTGTCGCGATTATTCCTAGATTCCAAGGAGGTGTTTGTAAAAGGCAGCATACATCTCTGACCGCCTCATCTAAGTTAGACTGGTTCCGAAATCTTGTAACATTTTGATAGAAGAGTTCTCTACTCAAAGGAAGATAGTTTTATAGTGATTTATCAACCAAGGTTTCTTATACAAGTTGTTGACAAACGGGCACATGATTCATCAGATTTTTTTGGCTTAATGCTGGTGTGTTTCATATAGTGAGTGTAGAGAACCGAAGACCCTTAAGTTAATGGAAATGAGGCATGCCATCTTAGTCCTGAAGGAATCTGTATTCAGATTCTTGATTGAAGATAGATGTAGATGTCTGTGGACCACAGTATCCACTTACCATCAAATGGATTGTGTGCTCGTTTGTCACCCTTATTCTATACAAGTGTTAAAATTAAAAAAATTGTACATCGACTTCAATATAAATAAAATGAAAACATCATCAATGTAGTCGAAGTCAATTAAATACGCATTATTAAGGAAATCTCAAAAACTACTGATCAGATCTTGATCAAATTTAAATGGGATCACATGAATCATCAAAATTGGTTCACCTAGAAAAAAATTCTGAGGTAACACACATAAAAAATACAGTCGAATGAGAACCTCCTCCTTTTTTTGAAGTCGGTTGAAAAAACCCATCTTTAATACTTAGTACAAGGAAGAATTACGTTACACGTAAAAGGGTAAAAATACGAAACACTGCAGCTTTATTTTAATGCTTCTATTTTATGTTGGTATTCTTTATGAGCATGAACATTCCCCGGCAGAGCCGAACCAATCGTGCTGCGGTTATAATATAACTGCAGTATGGCATAAAATAATAATAAAAATGTCTAGTTGCTAGCCTTAAATTTTGTTGTATTTTGGGAACTTTACCTGCTCAAACTCCCTCAGAAAATGGAATTAGAGGCTGTTCAGATTGGAATTTAAATAAGCAAAGACAATTATTAGGATTTTAATATTATTATCAGACTTGGGCAGCAACGTCTACCCGACAACAACTAGAAAAAAATCCGGTCGCCAACGAGCCTGCCAAGCGTGGCAATATAAAAAGTCTTTGTGTGGCAAGGCTCATGTTCTGCGACAGACTTTGATGGGCTGTGGAAATGGAGATCTTACGGATTTAACGTACCTTCTGGTCACACATAGATTTTTGGAGAGCAGTTCGTGAACCTTTGTCAAGACAAAAACTATCGCATTGAATCTCGTCTTATGTTCGCGGTTCGAATAACTTAGAGTTGTCTTCTTTGCATCCACAAAAGACTTTAACGTTACCCTAGGTATTAAAAAAAGGAAGAAAAATCTTTTTTAGTTCAAAGTCTGAGTTCTATTTATTTTTAATTTATACTATGTCGTTATTCCTATACCTATCCAAATCGTAAACGCAATTGCTCCACAACCGCTGATTCCTGATTACTAACATTGGGGTGTCGCCATTTTCAGCAGAATCATTAATTTTTCGAAGAACGTCTTCTACATTCTTAATCAATGATTTTCTTATGTTATTTTTCTCTTGGAGAAAGGTACTCGGACCTTGTTCTGGAAATATGTTTAGGTATAACAGACATGCATACTAAAATAACACTTACATTGGCGATCACTCAATTCATAACTTAAAATAAAAATTTTAACGAGTCTGTTTTTCGCTTTCGGAGAACAAACGAGGGATCCATCGACAACAAAGCTTCCTCACTCCAAGATGTTGATGTAGGTGTAGGATGGTATGAATGCTCCCCGAACTAATGCCTACAATCTTTTCGATGTCCATATATGTGATTCGTGGGTCTTCTCGCACCAAAATTTCAGTAGTCCATACATTTTCTGCCGTTACTGCTGTTTGCTGGGCCCCGGTTCTTTGGTCATCTTTAAGATTAATTTTACCCCTTTTGAATTCAGCAAACCACCTAAAAATTGTTGCGCGTGATGGACCTGAGTCCCCTAATGCTGATTGTAAGTTGTAACCGTTTTACACTTAATTGTTCGGTTAAACCAAATTTAAAATGATATATCATAGCGCGAAAATGTTCACGGTTAAGATCCATCGTTTTAAATGAAAAGCGCGGGAAGCGTTGCAGGAAAATTAATAGAACTTTGTTTTTTTTTTTAATATTGAGCAATGAGGGCCCGATGATGATTCACGACGTTTTCTGCCACCAGGGCGGTGCCACTAGAAAGTGAGGTATAATATTTGACAGATTTTTTTGTTCGTAAAATGTAAAAGTTATTGTTTATTTTTGTAATATTCGCGATATATCATATTAATAGCATTAAAAATAAATAAACCAAACCATAGATATTCATAAAAGTAAAAAAATTAAAAAAATTAAAAATTTGCAAAAAATTAAAGAGCAAACCACTGACGCATTGTTTTGTGTATTAATAAAATACTCTAGAAACTGATAAAATGTTATTAAAAAACAACTTCTCAATTAAATTACATTGTGTAACAAAAATTTTACCTCATTATCAACTAGCGACATCTGGTGAGCAGAAAATTATTAGCCCTCATTGTCTTACATATTATGGAGTTCTATTTTTAAATAAATTTGCTTTTTAGAAACAACACGGGTGCGTTCCATTTTTAAATTTCGAGCATCTCAAAACTTATTTAGTGACCTACGTAGGTATATATTATAAACGTGAAAGTTATGAGGATGTATGGATAATTGTTACTCATTCACGCAATAACTACTAAATGGATTTTAATGACACTTTACAATTATATGTATAGCTACATACATACACCAGAATAACACATAAGCTATAATTAATAAATAGATTGTGTAAATTGGCCAAAATTTAACGATAAATGTTAAGTAAGTCTAAAAAAAACACGACGTATGTTTGAACAAGCATCACGCAAACACCTGTGCACCGATTTGGATGGGACTTTCACTGGCAGATAGCTGATGTTATAAGGAGTAACTTAGGCTACTTTTATTTTAGGGTTCTGTGCAAAATAATTCCACGCGGTCGGAACAGTTAGTAAGAACATAAAAACTTTAACAGTATGTAGATTAAATAATCAAAATATAATATGCCGATAACGTGCCGATCTTGCTAAACTTTTTCAAAAATGGCATCGACTTTATACGTATGAGGGCGACCAGAGCGAGCTGCATCCTCGACATTAAAATTCCCGGACTGAAAACGCGTGAACCAAATTTGTGCTACTCTTACTGACACTGCATTAGGTTCATTAACGTCACACAATTTTTTTCGCGGCTTGAGTCGCATTTTTCCCGATTTTGTATCAAAAATTCAGAATGTATCGAATTTCTTTGTTAGATTCACTCATTTCGACGGCCAGAAAAACAATTGGAAAATGGCGGGAAAGTGTTATTTACTTTTTATTTTTCTTTTTCTTAATGTTCTATATGTATTGATATTAAAACCAGCCAGATACAAATAGTACAACCAAAGAAATTTTTCTTCAATTTTATACAAACAAAATACGAAGAAACTTATTCCCCGACCTTATACTATACTTATCCGAGATTCTATTATGAAATTGCACACACCTTTGTCTTTTGAAGAATGATCCAAAATTTCTTGAACTTCTAAGAAATTCAATCTCCTGTCAGGAAGCAACATTTTACTATTCAAATTTTTCACCTCGTTTTTACTATATAGTTTATCAATAGCCGCTACCAACTTCGGATCTTGTTTAAAAACAGATGCCGATTTCGCCGCTAAATTCTTCGTCAGCATTGACAAATCCCTATTCATTAATTCCATTTAAAAGCCAGGCAATGTCTGAAAAGACCATTCAAGACAAAAGTAATTGACAAACGAACTCGATAGAGCTCTTATTAAATAAACCACCGGTAAAAGTGATGATGATCCTTACCTACCTAGTGGCGAGATGTTTATCGACCGCAAACAATAACAGCGTCACAAAACCAAGATCGTAAAAGGCCCCCGAGACAATAAAGGCTCCTCTAGCGTTTTTACAGCGAAGTCGAGCGAAGAAGCGAACGGGACAAATTCATCGTCGGTGGCACATCCGACTCGCGTGCACTGGAAAAAAATGACACAATAGATATAATCGGGAGATAGTTGAGGCAGGCGTCTCAAGGAGCAGATGACACGGTGTGACGGCAGTACAAAAGGCGTGAAATGACGTCATAATAGCCTCGAATTATCGCCCCCTCTTGTCTCAGGCAAATATTTAACAGCGAAGCACTTTTTGTTCTCTTTCTTCGGCAGGAGATCGTAAATAACAGGGTTGCGGAGGGCAAACGACGCGGACCGTTACCGCAGCGCTTTGTTACATGTGACATATTGCGATGAGGTGATGTTTATGTCTTATTATGGATTCATACGAGAGTTATGGTAAAGCTTTAGATTTCTCAGTAAGACACAGCTCGTGTTGGTCTTTATCATCGATTTCGGGTTGATTAATGGAAAATCTATAAAAAGTGGACGTTTATTACAACCTGTTTAATTTTTTGACGGTTGTTTTAACAGTGTTAGAACCTAAGGTTAGTACGGTGCAATGCTTAATAGAAATTAATGTTACTTATTTTAAATCGGTTGTTTTCTTTTTTCCAACTGCATTTGTTTCCTTACTAACATAACTTCTTATAACATTATTGTATAAACGTAAGTGAAATAAAAAACGAATATTGTCGCCTTTCATTCATTCATTACAGCCCGTCAAAGGTGCACTGCTGAAGTCCCCATAGATGCCTCAAAGGAGGATGATAGTTGCCATGCTTGGCAGGCGGGTTGGCAACAGCAGTATTTTATTTTTTAGTTGTTATAAGGAAGACGCTGCTGCCCATCTCTTGCTTTGTTTCCCTCTGTCGCCTTTTACGACACCAACGGAGACGATATGGGATAGTGGATACTTTTACACCGCCACTACACAGTCATTCATCGCGTTTCATTTTAACTTAGTTATTTTAAATTTCCGATGTTTCATAATCCTAATTAAGTAGTTTCAGATTAAATATTTATAAGTTTTACCCATTAACACTAGAGGTGTGAGAATATAACTGTTAAAAGAATTTCCCAACCAACGGCCCAGACTCCCCGAAGCGCGCCGATAGCATCAGCGGGTGACAGCCCGCACAAATACCATACAAATTGCTCGATAGCTCCTTCAGTTTGATTGTTGCAATTATTCGCTGAACCCTTTCGCAACTCCGCGACCGCGGGGAGGTGAGAAAGTACTTATCTGCTTACTTGATCGAGAAGTAGCGTCCCAACTCTTTGACGTTGGTGTGAAGGAACAATCGTCTGGTTTGGCACCGCTAGATCGCCGCGGGATAGCCCCTGTTAGATCGCCATTATACAGCTTTTTGTCCCGCTTTAACGATTAGTATGTCTGATAATTATCGCGTGTTAAGATTTACTGCGCTGTATTTCGTTTATTACACTGTGACATAAAATATTTTTATTAATTGTATATACGATGCGATCGATCTCACATTTTAATCTTACAATTAAAATGATTCACCATCGATAAATAATACTAATATACTTTTTTTTTAATTGGGTCACAAATGGAATGTAACGTTTACATGGTTCAGGTAACATAAAAAAGTAACAAACGTTCATTCTAATAACAGTGAACACAGCATGCAACAAGTGGGCATGATAACAAATACAAATTAAGAAATGATAAACTCTAAAGTAATAAATATTAATTAATTAAAGGCTAATCTAATTTAAACCCTTGCTGAGGCCTTAGAACCATGAAAGATGTCGAACAAATCACGAATATTATTATAACTATTAGTCATTCTGTATAATGGCGAGTGATGATCCGTCACTGTTTTAGAGTGTCGCGTGACAAAAGTATTTTTGCGGCCCAAGCGACTGCAAGCGACTCTAGGGACCGACATTTAAATGATCTAAAATGTCCGGACAGTTAATGAGACAATGGATAATTTTATAGAGAAACATGACATAAGATGATTCCCGCCACTTGGATAGCAATTCTCATTTGTAGTGTGCCAATCTACTCTCATATGAAATGAGTGTCCTGCATTGGTAATTTCCATACGATAACTGGGACATAAACCTTTACTGAATCTTTTCCAGTCGGTTTGAGTGACACTTGTACCCCGGATTCCAGACTGAGCTGTTGATTATATATCAATGTATTTAAGTCTATTATACCTAGTATATAATAGCGATCCGCCCAGTATTTGCCTGGCTAGGATCTGTTAATGTACATATCTATAATATTAATTTTTAGACGTTTTCAAGCAATTTCATATGTATCAAGTTTTTTGCTTTATTTCGGACAAAAAAATATCTAAACTTTTTAATAGATACATAAATGTTCTCTTGGATCTAGTGTTAGTAACATGACAACACAAATACGAAACAAAAAGTACAAAAAGTGGATAAAATATAGATTAAATAATAAAGGATAAAATTTAGATTCTTCATGGCATTGCTCTTTATCTGTGCGTAAACTTTCTTCACAATGGATTTAGCCATACCAAAATTTAACCCGGACAGACAGACAAAGTTTTAAAAAATGGTTATTCATGTCGAAATAGTATGCAAAAAACCCACTGTTATTTGCTTACTATTTAAAAGCAGCCAGTTATTTCAATATTACAGACAGACACTTCAATTTCATTTATATGATATAGATTACTTGGTAGAGCCATTTGGCAACTGTATTATGAATATGATTATAACACGAATGGGTGAGCTCGACCTGTAGAAGACCATATTCTCACAAAATAGCACTTTAAATTGCAGCATATTGCTACTGTAGGTATTTTATATGGCGGGTGTAGAAAACCGGAGAACTTTTTATTCTTTTCATATTGGTTTTCAGGGATTTCTAATCGATATTAATGTCAGAAGTGGTAGAGCCACGCTGCAGCTATATTATGATTGTAGCACGAATGGGTCGCCTCGACCGGGGTAGGACCACGCTCTCACAGAATACCAGCGTAAAATAGCAGCTTAATGCTGCTGTGTTTCGTATGGTGAGTGTGGAGAACCGGAGACTCTTTTTACTGGAAATGAGGCATTCCATCTTAGTCCTCAGGGGTGCCAACGCATCTGCATTTTCATTCTTAATTGAGGATAAATGTAGATGTCTATGGTGGCCCATACATCATCCACTTACCATCAGGTGGACTGTGAGCTCTTTGCCACAATTATTTGTTAAATAGTTATAATTATGTTCCTACCAAAAAATATACAATGGAGGAATAAACTTATTGGCATTAATAACTGAACTACCACGACTCTAAAAAATATGTAATATTTTAATATTACAATACAAGTGACCAACTTCCCACAAAATGCGTCCTCTAACGGGTCACCGACGCGGAAATAAAAGTAACAATTATAAAAGCTATAATAAAACATTGGTGAGATTGTGCGCGCGGCGAGTGGCTGCCGGTAGCCACGGGGCGTCGGCCCACAATGGACCACCATCGCGCTATCTCGATGGACGATACGTTGCCGCTTAATTGACTGCTCAAACGTTACTTTAATACTTTGTTATTGAATTCGTATAAAAATGAGTACATTATGTTTTTATTTAGCAAGTCCATTGAAAGAAATTCCAGAAATCAATATTAATCTTTCCAGTTTTTTTAAGAAATAAAATCATTATACTAAAAAAATAAAATAAAACAGTACTTCATAATAATATAAGTAAATTGCTCAAATGAGTCTTCACAAAAAGAGCATAGGTATTTAATAAAATAAAGCAGTTATCCATTAGCATGTTTTATAAATACGCCAAATGCCAATCATCTACTAGAACGATAATACTAAAATTTATAATAATTTTAATTAAAATACTAGAACTTTTATACTTGGTAGAGCCATGCTGCAGCTATATTAGTAATATAGTTGTAGCACGAATGGGTCGACTCGACCGGGAAAGGACCACCCTCTCACAGAATACCGGCGTAAAATAGCAGCTTAATACTGCTGTGTTTCGTATGGTGAGTGTAGAGATTTAGAGAACCGAAAGACCCTTTTTAGTGGAAATGAGCCATTCCATCTTAGTCCTCACGGGTAACAACGCATCCGCATTTTGATTCTTTATTGAGGATAGATGTAGATGTTTATGGGTCACAGCAATCACTTGCCATCAAGTGGACTGTGTGTTCCTTTGTTACCCTATCCTATAAAAAAAATTATCGCTGGTGAATTTGGTATGTTAAAAAATAATGAAAAAATTTATTTTGATTCATTTATGCATACTTTTTACAGTATAGATAAATAACAGTTATTGTGGCATTGTTTGGAAGAGACCTATGTTCAGCAGTGAACTTGTGAAGGGCGGTGTAATTTATGAAACAGAAAATTTGGTTTCAACTGTTTTCAATAGATTTCGCAATCAGTGCTATTCTAGAGCGTGTTTATTTAGAGAGTTTCATGTACCTTATCAGTCCTACGTGCTATTCTAGAGCGTGTTTACTGAGAGAGTTTTATGTAGCTAATTAGTTCTACGTGCTATTCTAGAACGTGTTTACTGAGAGAGTTATGTACCTAATTAGTCCTAAGTGCTATTCTAGAGCGTGTTTACTGAGAGAGTTATGTACCTAATTAGTCCTAAGTGCTATTCTAGAGCCTGTTTACTGAGAGAGTTATGTACCTAATTAGTCCTACGTGCTATTTTAGAGCGAGTTTACTGAGAGAGTTATGTACCTAATTAGTCCTACGTGCTATTCTAGAGCGTGTTGATGGACCTGCAAGTCCTAGTAATAGTTCTATGAAATCTCAGATATGCAGATTTCTATACA